CCCTTCCCTCCCCCCCCGCCCTCCCCAGCGGCCCTTCAATCAGCCGCCGATGGCCAACCGCGCTTCCCTGCCACGCACCCTCCGCCTGGCCCATGATCCCATTTTCCTCCTCCCCCTCCTCTTCCTCCTCTTCCTCCTCCTCGTCCGTCTCCGCCAGATCGTCGTCGATCACGTACCCCCCGTCTCCCTGCCCGCCGTTGAGCTCCTCCTCCGGCGCCCGCAGGGCATCGGCGTAGGCCTCGCCCAGCTTGGCCTTGCCGTCCGGCACCAGCGCATCATGGGTCGTCATCACCGGCTGCGCCGCCGCCGGGGCCGCCGGATGGTCGCCGACTGGGGGCCGATCTCTCCGGCGGGGCGGGGCGGCAGGAGAAGGGAGGTGGGCAGGGGGGAGTGCGAAGCCGCCAGAAACCCGAAAAGCGCACTTTAATGTGTCGGTTCACCGGGGCAGGCACTCATCATCAATTCTCAGATTTTTTTCATTATTTTTTTCTCAGATAACGCGGCAAGGAGGTGGCCATAAGCTCCCTATTTCGCGTTCATCGTCGTCTTCATTATGAGGAAAACTGTTGGCGCTCGCAGACGCTCGCACACTGTCGCTCCCAGGCACAGGAAGCAAGGCCGTAAACAGATGCGTTACAGGATGAAAGTACCAGCTGAATAATTGTCGCTGCAGGCATAAGTTCTCCGTCCCCTATTTTCTCCATGGACATTTCAAGACAACATAAACACCACGTTCACCGTAACCGAATTTCACCATAAGTCGCCACCTGTCATATAATCATTTACTCAATGTCCTTTTGCCCTCACAATCATCGCTGTGAGGGCTAAAGAACAATTAACAAGTGATTGTGTGACATGTGGAGATTTATGTTGAAATGTGGTATGGTGAACATGTTGACGGTGTTATGGTGCCATGTACATGGAGAAATGGGAAGGGGAAATGGAATGAACATGTTTGCATGTACAATTACTCAACTGGTACATATATCCTGTAAGACATTTGGTTACGGCCTTGCTTCTTGTGTCTGGGGGCAGCTGACTGCAGATTGAGCATGAACGGTTGGCGCGATAATCATTCATTTTTACATAACAAGGCAATGAGGCAGCCATCAGCTTCTTATTTCGCACTCACCTTGTTGTGAAGATGCACGATGTTTCTTGGTGCTAGGGATGGATGGATTCTGGACATCGTTTGTATTGTGCGTTAGATTTCAATGAACGGATCATGTGCACTATTTCAATGTGGCCAAATAGGCAGCTGACGGCTACCTCCTTGCCTACCTCCTTATGATGATGTTGGTGCATAATGAGCGAAATTCCTAGCAGGTATGACGCAGATCGCGCCAAGGATACGGGACAGGAGTCTTCCATATCAACGCGTGGCTCAGCATTGTCTCCGACACGGGCGAGATGCCGAGCCACGGGTTTAAGCCGTAGAGGGAGCGGACGCACTTGGAAAACTCGTCACAATCGCAACCTGGCAACAAGCTGGGAGACAAAATCTTCACGCGACCAGCCGCTCATATGCAAAGATCCAAATCCCTTTTCAAAGCTGTCAAAATCTGTGGATCGCGTGAAGCCCAAACAAGAAAGATTCCATCCGCGTCAAAAATGGGAAAAAATCAAGGTCAGCGTACCAAACTCATTGATTCAATAACATTTCTCCACGTCACACAACAATCCACGATGAGAGCCTGCTGTGAAGTGTGGGGCCGAAGAGGAATGTGCCAAGCCCATCATTTTTGCTGTGGTGTGCCATGCGCTTGTGTGGGTTTGAAATCACTTGAACGGATTTTCGAAGACAACACGGAAAGTCGCTGCCATCGCACCTTGGAAGCTTTGGGAACATATTTGTTCGTAATCTGATTCTGTTTGCGTTCATCAGTCTCGCACTGTCTGTTCCAACAGTGTCGGCGTCGCAAAGGCCAGGGAAGTGACTGTGGATCGTGTAGTGGTGGCGGCCTTGCAGATCGTCTTGGGAGGTGTGTTTGCGTATAGACAGCGCTGCATGTCCCACTGCGGTTCATCGACTGGAAACCAGAGGCACGTTTGCATGGCCTCTGCCAATTGTGTGCTTGTAATTTTGGAGCACTTGCAAGCAGTCATCGTCCATGATTTGGGCATTCTTCGTCTGTTGGCATGGTTGAATATTATGACGGCTTTACTTGAACACAACAAGAAAGACTGTGCTTCTTTTCTGCCGCTTTCTACAGGATAGTTGTCGTCCACAACGCCCCATTTCTCGGCGTCATTTCACCAGGCTGAAAAGCGCCAATGCAGCCGACGCTTAACGTATGATCTGCAGGGCAACATCCGTGCCATGCATTCACTCGCTTTCGGCGTCGTTTCGCTTTGTTTGAAAAATCTTACAAGGCAGCACTGTGCCGGCGGCTGTTGTTCAGATGGCATCCAGCATTTGTCCATCAGTTTCCCACGAGAAGGACACAAGTGTCCCCTCAGACACAAACAATAGGGAGGGCCTTCGTGAGAACCACTCCCCTTTCCCCCCCCCTCGGCAACCAATGCCAAACGATCCTGCCATCCAAACATTCTGGGGCACTGTCCGACAGGTACCATTGCCATGGATTGGGCCAGGAGGGTGGCCCAATGCACAGGGTCACTATCTTGAACAAAACACCGTTCTGCTTGCAATGATTCATGGAACAAGGCCGATGCATGGAGGCGCAACTAACTAGGCTACCAGAAATAAGAAATACAGAAAGAAGTACAAGAGGGCGGCCTGGGGCGACTACAGGCAGTTCCACCTTGGTGTGCCAACACCTGCTACACAAGCCCACCAGCACCCTCAACTCCCCTTCCACATGACGCCGCTAAGTGCCCCTTAATCAGCCGAGGTGTCTGATCCTTTGCGAAAACGTTCATTGCCCCGGAAGGGCACGAGTGGCACTAGGCTTCCGGCAGTTGGATAGCGGCTGCAGCTCCAGGTGGCACGGAGCCAGGGCATTCCCCAGTGCTCAACAATCTACACTAAGATGTAGCGGTGTGTGGTACAAAGCGCATGCGCCCAGGTACACCCCCGGGACCCCCTATGCTCGACATGAAGGGCGGCTCGTGCCGCCCATGCTGCCCCACAGTCAACTGCTGGATCGTTCCAGCTCGCGTGTTTCGCTTTTCCTGTTTTCGTTCCTGCAGTGATGCACCCGCACTGCCAGTCGCCCCCTCAGAACGCAGCGATGGCCGGCACCTTGCCTGTGGGGCCGGCAGGGCAGCTCCACCAAATCTCCCCACCTGCAGAACGCCCCCTCATACTGAGATAAACAATTCCATGATGAATTACAAAAGCCAGACCATCTGCCCGCACTCTCCCGACAAACCATGCAAGCCTGCCCCACAAACGTTGAGAATTGCATCAGCCTTCCTGCGCCGGCAGGGACTGCCAGAGTGTGGCGTGCAACCTACGTCGTCTCGCCCTTGTGCTGCACGCCATCCATTGCACCATTCACGTCTGGAGACATGGCGGCTGCCGTGCAATCTGCCGCCCCTGCCGTAGGCCCTCCAGACGCCTGGATCCAGCCCCGACGGGATTTGAGACGTTCGAACCCAAACGACGGCCCATCCCGTTCAAAATTTGATGCAAAAATTAACGGCCACTGCCGCCTGCGTTCGACGCCCGGGACCAGCCCAGCCCGTTTTATAGTCATTATTATTGCTATCCTTCCCGTCCCTCGTTTCTTCGGATTCGCACCTCGATTGGATCACGATCCGAACAGCGACCGCACATTCGTCCTGCACATTCGGCTCCCCCTAAAGTGTGACAGTGCTCTCAACCCCGCGGCGCCCTACCCCAAGCTACCATGCAGCAAGAGCAACAGCAAGAACAGCGCGGCCACCGCCGCCATGGCCACGGTCAAAAAGTGCGCTTTGGCCCTCTTCCACAGCGACTTCCGGGGCCGCGGCCGGATGCGCACATGGGTCTTTTTCACGGACAGGCCCCTTGCGCCGCGACCGGAGGCCGTCAGGGAGTCTTCCGACACCTCTGAGGGCGAGCTCTTGGAGCTCCGAGAGCTGGACGGCACCGTCAGCGTCCCAGAGGAGCCGCTCTCTGACGGCCTCGTCGCCGGTAGCCGTTTTCCCCCAGGGGCGGTCCGCGACAGCGCCTCCGCCCATTTGCTGTGGCCGGACGACTTTGCGCCAACCGCCCGCACCCTCACAACGAAAGACGTCTCCGCGGGCAGGCCACCCAGCCTGCAGCGCCGCTCGCGCACGACTTGCCTCACCACCGACGTGCGCAGCTGCCCGCCGCGGTCCTTGCTGGGGCTGGCCTCCACCTCAAAGCACTCGGCCGCGACGCCTCCACGCTGTTCGTGCTCCCATGTCACTTCCAGCGCCGTGGCATCGCCTTGGATGCCCCCAGGCGCGTCGTGGTCCATGCTGGAGATCACGGACACGTTTGTGGGCGTCGACGGCGGCGCCAGGGCCGTCGTCACTGAGCTGGCTGGGCTCCAAGGACCTGGGCCAGCCTCGTTTGTGGCCTGGACCCTGAAAACGTACTGCTGCCCTGGGCACAGGTCCGACACCTTCTGAGTGGTGGTGTAGCCAGAGTACACCTCCCTAAACGCGCCCCCCTGCTGTGCTATCTCCAGCCTGGCAAACAGAGAGGGTGGCGTCAGGAAACAGGAAACAGAAGGCCTGGAGTTTTGCCGTTCTCGTGGCACATCTAGAACGAACTCCATGCAAGTTTCAAATCAACAGAATGCATCATTCCATTCTCAGCGCATGAGTGATTCATCCCCTTCTGCAACACCCTAGCAGGAGTTCAAGCCAGTCGGCAAGAACTAGGAACAAAGAACTTGGGGTGCCAATGCGGTTGTTGGTGCAAAGTGCCTGACATCCCCCAACGCACGAAAGGGTTGTGGGTGATCATGCGTCCACATGCAGTCAAGTCGGGTTCACCCATCTGGCAAGTGGCAACCAGCCAGCTGTTGAAGCAAAGACATCAAAGGAGCAGGAATTGGGTGAGTGAGACAGGCCCAAACTGTCAGTAGATGAAGAGCAGCATGCAGTGTGACAGCCATACAGCCACCTTTGGGGCCATGTATCAGTCAGGCAACTCGATCCATTTGGAAAGATGTGGCAGAACATGACAAAGCGCAGCAGTTGCATCGACAAGGCTCAACTCTTTGTGTTTACATCGCCTTCATGACCAGGGCTTTGCAGCTGATAACGACCGTAGAAGACGCAGTGTGTGGGACCCCAGACACATTTACACCCTTCGCTTGTTCATATGCTCGCTTGCCACCCATATGCAACACAACCAACGTTCAACAACATAAATGGGCCCAAAGGAAAAGATAACAAAGAAAAAGAGCAAATAGATAATACTTCATGTCCATGAAAGAAGGATTGAGCTTAGCTGCTTACAAGATGACAACAACCCAGCAGGCAACGCCTGGTGCCCACCCACGATGGGTGAATGGGCAGTGGCTTTTTAGGGGTTCCCAGACGCAATCAACAACGACTTGCATTCTGCTGCTTGTCCTGTAGCTGCAAAGGATGTCACTGACACATACATAAGCAGCAGGATATTATCATTTGCTCCTCCCTCTTGGCATGTGAGCCGTCAACATGCTGCAGCGGAGACGTTTCTTTGGTGATGTTGATCGTGTTGTGGGCAGCATACTGGAAAACCAAAATGACTCCCTCCACTGTTCACAGAAAGGTATTGGTGTTATTTCCCAAATTCCTCACTGCCACCAGCGGTTCCAATTGCACCCCTCTGTCTACACAATTGACAGCTGACTGGAATAGGAGGAAAACAATCTATTTCTTGATCAGGGTTGTGTATTCTGATACATGACTGGGACTTGCAGTCAATGAAACCACTGGGACCGCACATATGCACTCTTCCCTGTCACAATACTACAAGGCTGAACAGGGGTTTTCGCATTTTATTTGGTCGTTATCTCTTCAGGGTCTCCAAATGTTTCCAGTCCCAATGGCTGTAACAAGCACAACGCTCGCCAGCAATCCCCTTTATGCAGTGCAAACTGCTCAACGGATCATTTGCTCCAGAAGGTTGTGCCAGTTGCGCACGAGCAACACTCCATCGGGGGAGTAGAACAACGCCATCAAGAACCAAGTCTCTGGTCGTTCACGACCAAGCCAGCGGACAGCTGCAGAGATTTCGCTGACCTGCTTTAGAACGTCCACCTTCAATAGGTGCTCGCTAGGTTGTCAGCATTGTCACATCCTGGTCTCATGGTGTTTGGTTAGGGCATTGTTTGTTAGGTTGATTAGTGCTTTGGTACAAGTGGTGCAAGTGCTCTGGTACATTAGGTTTGCTGCCAATTTGGGGATAGGTGGCTGATGAGGCTGGGTGCTATGTAGAGTAGGGTGGTTGTTCTGTCCTGCTTGTACACCCTGCTGTGAAGCCGCAGGGATCATTCATTCAAGGATATATTTTGGGATATATTTTAGGACTTTTTCTTGCTTCATTTTCAGCAAGGCAAACACATGCTGACCCTATTGTGGACATTGACACCTGGGATGGCCATTCTTGGTGCACTTCTCATTGGCCAGTGTCATTACATTCAATAGCTGATACCTTCTTCCATGATCACTTGTGTGCTCTTGTGTCATCTTCCTCCACTTTCAAAGACACTTATTATCTCTGATGATTAAAGCATAGTGGAGGCACATGCCATGGACAGTGCATGAGTCGAAAATGTTGCTGTGGTTCATTCTGTGAAAAACAACAACACACTCTTCCTATGTTGCTGCTCTTCTAATGGACATGGTCAGGCAAAATCAGGAATAAGATTCCTGCACAGCAGGTGGACGATGCTTGTTGCTTATGGCTGTGGTGCATCCAATGATGACCAGTGGTTTGCTGTGGATTCGATTTGAACCTTGACGTCAACAGAGATCGCATTCCAGCATTTTGCCCCCCCACAGCCCAACGTCGCCATCCGTATATCCTTGCTGGTGCAAGGATCAATTGTGTCACTATTCAGACAATGCAGCTGACATTACATACATTGAATCTGAATGGGAGAAGAAGAGCTACACACCTGTAGTTTGTCACTGGGGCACCATTCTCCCTCTCCGGTGGCGCCCATTTGACACGCAAGGAGGTTGCTGCCTTCTGTGAAAAGGTGGGCCCTTCAGGCGGGCCGGGAGGTGCTGCAGTGGTCCGGACAGTCACAGTGTCACTGGCAGGACCCACTCCACAACTGTTCCCCGCTCGCACCCGAAACTGGTACTTGCAACCACTCTTAAGCCGACACACCTGCAGAATCGATGTTGTATTCTGGTCAGCAAACAGCCATGCACAATCTGTCAACAATAAAACGCACGATCTGCACAATCCAACACATTCTCATCGTACGATACTGAATGTGTGATTGTTCATGTGTCTAAAAGACAGGGTCTCCCTCGAAGCCAGTAATCAAAGGCACTATTTCGCTCTGTGACAGGAGATGTTCGATGACAGGAATATAGAACATAACTCACTGTGTGGCTCATCCCCATGGCATGTCCTTGGTACTCCTGCACCCAAGTGGTTTTCTTGCTTCTTTGTGATAGCCGTTCCAGCACGTACATGTTCAGCTTGGAGCCATTGCTCCATTCAGGTGCTTGCCAGCAGAGAGACACACTGTCCACAGAGACACCTGATGTGCACACATGAAATGCACGATGAAACATCGTAGAAACTCACAACACACAGCTCACACCAACGCCACGTCAGATCGCATTATGTGGCACTCAAGACCAAGAGCATGACGTGAACACGGGGCGGCTTCTTGCCTGAGAACTGCATTATCATGGAATGCTCACCGGAACGGCTACTTTTTAGCCTTCACGTGTGTCCAGGGGTTCGAACCTTTTGGAATCACCAATGTGAGGAATGACTCGGTGGCTAGCCATGACACAGCACAAGCAACACAGGTTCGATATTCTGGGAAGCAAGGCAAAATCGCTCCCAAGACTGACTGGTGGCCAAGTGGATGGATGGATTGATTGACCGGCAGATAGATCGCCCGTCCAATGGATGGATGGATTCAATGCCTTACCTGCGACCTGAAGGTTCCTTGGAGGCGAAGGAGCAGCCGCCTGCGTCTTGCACGCGATGGCCTTGCTCCATTCGCTGCTGCCCGCTTTGTTGGATGCCCTCAGCCGCACAGCATAAACTGTGCTGGCCTTCAAGCCACGCACTCGGCACTGTGCCTGACTCCCGCTGTACACATCCCTGAAGTCAAGCCCATCACAGATGCAGTCACTACAGCAGGCTGTAGGGACCCCAAGGTCCTCCTCTGGGACAGAGGGGACACATGTCTGGCTGCCTTCTTGGAGCGACACGAATCCATTGCGCCGACTCTCCTGCTCTGCCACCTGTACGACACAGCGTGAATCAACTTCACTCAGACCATCCTAGCATGTCACAAATTGATACTCTTTCTCCCACAAGGTGACAGAAGACACTGTTCGCATCAACAACTACACTATTCTTCGCAACAAAACTATTCTTTGCTCACGCCATACTTTCATTGCTTTCTAGCTATTCATCGACACTTGCGTCAAACCTGACCATGGGCTCTTCCACCCCTGATGGGTGTTTCTTCCCAGTACCTGTGCTGTGTAACTGCTGACAGTCGAACCCCGGCCATCAGGAGGGTCCCACCGGATGGTCAGGCTGTCACTTGTGGCCTCACACACCGCGGGCGGACACGGTGCCTGGGGCACACCTGCCTTTGTTGTTCCCCGCACTGCAGGGCTCCAACCGCTGGCTCCACAGGCATTCAAGGCCCGCACCCGAAAAGAGTACTCTGTTCCAGGCAGCAGGCCATCGCCCTCCCACACACATAGGCTGGTGCTGTACGCTCCAGCAAAGGCAGCTGGGCCCTCCTCAGCAGCTCTGCGTGCATCGCAGCACTGCAGCTGGTAGCCTGTGATACTCGACCCGCCATCATGAGCAGGCGGTTTCCAGGACAGCCTGAGGCTAGTAGGTCCCAGTGAGAGCACTGAGGGTGGTGGCATCTTTTCGGGCATCCCAGGTTCCATTGTGAACTTGGCAGGCTGTGACACACTCCCCCAGCCTGCCACGTTGCTCGCTCGGACTCTCAGCTGATAGGTGCATCCAGGCCTCAGGCCACCCACAGAACAGGAGGGCTCCAAGCCGCTGTACACGTTCGTCCATCCTGACCTGCCCGCTGCCTTGGATGTGGACATGACTTCAGCCTGGTCCATATGGTGACACACAACAAGAAACTGACGACTTGACAATGAACCCGGACCGAAACGGGCAACAGCACCAAGTCTTCTTTCACATGACTGACCCTGTGGTGAGCCTGAGCACTGATGGCAGAGCATTCTGTGGCTCACAGCCCAAGACCCAAATCCTTTGTATATCCATCAAGCCAATCACAGCTAAACTGGCAAGGACATGTTCACAGCCCTGCTTTGAGAGTTGGCAACAGCATTCACACATTCAGCTCAAAACATGCCATTCTATAGTGCAAACAAGGCTTTTCGAATGACCAACTACATATGTAGTTCAAACCAACTGAAGTCATAGGAATTCATGCTGGTGGTCATCAAAAAGCACACTCACCTCGTAGCAGCCGACCTCACTTCCCCCTGTGTCTTCTGGGGCTGACCATGTGAATGAAGCAGAGGTCTTTGTTGATGACCTGCATGTCAATGACTGTGGTGGGCCAGGAACACTTGGTGCCACACGCACTGTTGTGGTGCTGCTCCAATTGCTCTTGCCAGCCTGGATTTTATAACCACACTGTGTTCAGCTGCGTTGTTGCTATGTATACACAATTTGTACCATTTTTACAGCTATTTTCTTGCCATTTTAGCAAAAATGGACAAATGACACAACTTTTGTGCTACTCCAATGGTACTGGCTGTGATTTAATTTTATTGGGTCCCATACTCTTGCAGCCCCCTTTTCAGCATTTGCAGCCCATTGTATTCCCCACGTATTCTGCAAGTATATGCTCGTTTTGGTCAGCCAACAAGTTGTATGTGCATACCATGTTCTGACCATTTGCAACCCGTCTTGCAGACCAAGCCTGCATTTTTCCATTATGTGCTCACCCAAAGCTTCAAAGTCTCAACCCTGCAACAAGGACTAACACCTTACACAAACTACCAGGCTACATGCACCAACCAAGAGGCTGTTCACACCCCAAAACAAGGGATGTGTTGCTGACAGGGCTGCAAATGCCTCACAAAGGGATGTTAATATGCATGCACATTCAAGCTGAACAATACTCTTCAACGAGGCCGCCAGCACATCTGCTTCATATCGTCTTCTTTGGCTGTGTTGAGGCTGTATTACACTATTGGCTGTGTAGTACACAGTAATATCCTACCAATAAAATGCCCACAGGACCTGTGGATGCGATGGCAAGATGATGCACAACTCTCTAGTCAACAAACATGCAGTCTCCAATCGCAGCTGCAGAACAGCCGATTTCTTCAGAATGCACATACACAATGCATTGTTCAAGTGCGATCTACTGTGCAGCATATGGACCAGGGAATGCACTCTCATACTGAATACTTGTTCAATCGCTGTTCACAATTCCCACCTGGTTCTCTGCCCGGACCTTAAACTTGTAGGTGGCGCCACTCTGTCAAGACATAACAACATACATCAACAGGCCACAATCTCTTCTGCACAGTGCTGAACTTGCTGAAATCTCAATTCGTGGAAGATAGAGAGCAGTGAGCAAAAATTGATGCCATCCAGGCAGCCTGAACTCATTGCCCACTGGGTCAACGTGCATGCCATGTCCAAACAGCACATTCCCAGCACAACCAATGGACAATTCTTCCCTTTTCAAAGCAGATCAATGACCTACCTAAACACAAACACATCGACAGCAAATGCCTGCACTTGGAAACTGCACACGGCAGTGTCCACAAGCTTGAAGCAGAGTGAGTCGGTGCTCTGTGACAGATGCATTTGTGCTGGCACAAAAGATAGTACCCCAGTTTATTGGAGAATGTGCGGGGAAGGCGCATTGGTGAATAATGTACCTTATCAAAATGGAGGCACTGAGAATGGGAAATGGCAGGGGCTGGCTTGTGCTATGCCCTGCATACATGTTTGCGATTCGTAGAGTGACAGCTTGAGTCAATAGATTTGTTGGTTTACCTGGCATCTAGGGGAGCGCATTGCACTGACAGGACAGATGCATCCCAATGCAACTTCACAGTGGTCAATGCACGTGAGACCCAACAAGTGGTTGCCCCCTCACTCAGCAACTGCAATAGCGCCCCAAACATAGCCATGAAAGCGCTTAAACCTGGACAGCTGTGGCAACACACTGTCCCCCAACTCCCATCTCGCCCCCCACCCCACCCAACAGTCTCAGTATATTGTTTCACAGCGACTTGTGATATTGTCACTGTGTTTTGCACAATGGTGCGCAGGATGTAGTCAATGAATTATCAAGTCCCCAAAAGGCAGGTAGACATTCAATTCATTCTGTATTGTGTATGTGTCTCTCTTTGTCAAGTCCATCATCTAAAACTCAGTCAGCAAGGACCAGTTTCAGGGTGACAAATACTGAGATAGCACTGGGGAACTCTGATGTTAAATTCAACCAGTCCATTGCCTGGTAGGTGCCATAGGCAATGCTCAGGAAGTTCCTTATAAAAGCAATGAAATGATCGGCACTGTCGACAGGCCAACAAAATACCTTCAAATTAAGTATTGTGCACTGAGGAGAATATCCACTGTACACTGGCCGGGAACACCCATCTTCCATATCCAAGGCGTCCACCATGTATGAGTCGATTCTCGCCCCGTTATCTTTTGGGACATCCCACTCCAAAGAGACGGAGGTCTGGTGCACAAATATGTGTCAGTTAACCAGAGGTGTTGATTTCGCCGTTTGACAAGCACCGTACACTGTACACTGCTGATGAACCTGTTCTCTCTTTACTTCCATTGAGACACATGCCATGACCAGTGCCTTGGTGTTCTCGTTGCAAGCCTTGGGTGCAGTCATCCACTTGCCCATCGTGAAGCAGTGAGGCATTCCAAACATGCTTGTACCGTGCTGAGATAAACGTGCTCTGGATAGGGCGCTGAGACAAAACAGTGGATGCACAATGGCATGCAGGGAACAGCAAAGAGACAGGTTCAACGAAAGCATCCAAAACTTACCGATGTCACATCAGTGCTTCGGGGCGGCTCTGGCGTTGCCGGAACAGACGCCTCTGTTGTGAAGACACTATTCAAACTCCAGGGACCCTCCCCCAACTCATTTCTGGCCTGCAGTCACCACACACAAACCATTCAGCAGGCCAAGATCAACAGCCCAGCAGACTACCGGCTCCATTTATACCATCAACAAACCAGAAATCAACAATGAAACAACACAGGAGGGTTCTATCTTTACAACGCCTGCCATCGACTTCCAGGTGCATGAGCGCTGTTTTGCCCTGCAAATGCCAATACGATGCAAGCAAAACAGCAGCATCACCTCCCTCATATTTGCCTTGATTTTCTCCTTTTGTACCAGCTCACAATTGTGCCCCCACACTGCAACCACAACTCATCTATTGAGGGGCAGCAGGCTGAAGGAGCTGGAGCAGACCGTAAACTAGCAAAGATTTGATACTAGGCAGCAATGATGCCAACAAGAGTTTACCACTTCCAGTGAAACTGTGCCAGAAAAGCAAAACATCATAGGGAGTGATCTTTGGGGACAAAGTTTCCATCTCCAGAATAATTGTGGACGCATGTGAAGAACTTGCCAATATAACCACAAGCACATCACCCAAAGCCGAATGTCAAGAGGCAGGAACAAGCCCCGGACCACAGATCTCCAAGAACTGTGTGCAACAGTTCTCTAGCAAACCTCTGACGGTTCATTCTTTCTCATCACTAACAAATATGGCATGACATCGACAGACCAGTTGAAACAACGTGCCAGGTTTCTCATCACTAGCAAATATGGCATGACAGCGACAGACCAGTTGAAACAACGTGCCGGGTTTCTCATCACTGGCAAATATGGCATGACATCGACAGGCCAGGTGAAACAACATGCCAGGTACCGATTTACTGGGGGTTAGACACAGAACACAACCCATTTACCCCAACCAAGGGTACTGTAGGGGGCTTTTTTTCAGCTCAGTGAAATCTTTATAAGAAAAATGAAGCTTGTTGGAGGCAAAACACTGCCATGCTGTCAGCGCAAAGCAGGCTGCGCTTTCAATCCATCGGAATGAAACAAGCTGCTAACATTGACAGGTTGGCCAAAATGGCTTGTCAAGCAAAGATTCAAGTGGCCACAGCGAGTACCACACAGAAAGCCAACTGCAACACCAAGCATTTGTCACCAGACAGCATTGTTGCACATAAACTGCGCCAAGGGAACAGTACCTTCACCCTGGCAGTGTATTTCATGCCTGGGAGCAACTTTGTTGCCCTGAAGGTTTGCGGTGAGCCACAAAATATTTCAGTGAAGCCCTGCAGCCACAGCAAAAATCGTCAGCACGAAGACATCGAAGCATGAGGTCTCCATGATGCATGAATTCTGTGACCAATGAAGAGCGGGGCATCACCACAGCAAGTGGTCTGTGCGTTGCAATGAGCATGCAAGGCAAAAAGCTAAAGCGGAGAAATGAAGCACCACATCAGACTAGGGATGTTACCCGGGGTGGCAAAACCAGACCCGGGTACCCGGGGTTTCCGGAACTTGGGTACCCGGGTGTACCCGGGTAACCCGGGTACACGCAGTACCCGGGTACCCGCGATTGACGCAGTACCCGGGTACGCCCAGTACCCGGGTCCGGGTATATACCCGGGTACGGAAAGATGCTCCCCTGCGCCGACGCAGCGCTGGCTGGCCGCGCTCCGCCGCGCTTGGCCGGCGCCTGTCTAACGGAGTCCGCGATGACGACGGCAACCCTCGCCTGACGTTGTCTTCCATGAACCGTGCGTTTCTTCTGGAACGCTCTGGAAAGGGCTGGACGCCCTTTGGTCCACGATCGCGTTGACCAATCCTGGCCTCCCCCGCTTCATCACTTGGCATCGACCAAGCAGCACCTTGTCGATGTTCCAACCCGTCAGATTCCCCGATTCCGGCTCGCTGGCGCCCCCCCGATCGACCAAGCAGCGCCACGTCGGTATGCCCACCCGTCGGATTCCCCGATTCCGACTTGCTGGCGCCCCCATATCGACCGAGTGGCACCATGTCCAGGTTCCAACCTGTCATATTCCCTCATTCCCTCATTCTGGCGCGACGACGCCCCCAGATCTCCAAATGCGCCGCCCAAACAGTGTGTGGAGAGCATCGGCGCCGTGCACGATTGCGGACGCAGCCACACAGTATGGACGGGGGCGACCTTCGCGCAAACCAGCGCGATGCGAAGCCATGCACCGGGCGGCGACCGTTGGTCGAACGTGCAGTACCCGGGTCCGTACCCGGACCCGGGTACTGGCAGTACCAGGGTAATCCGGGTACCCGCCGGTACCCGCCTGTACCCGCCTGTACCCGGGTACGTACCCGTACCCGCCTACCCGGGTACAACGGTTGGCGGGTAGGCGGGTACTAAAAAACCCAGTACCCGCCCCGGGTACCCGGGTTTGCTGTACCAGGGTACCACCCCTACATCAGACGCAATGTGCCATAGCAGGCCAAAAGGACCAGCTCACAAATGTTTCCAACAATCTCGCTTATGTGGGCTGGTTTCTGCACGCAAGTTTTCGATGTTCCCTTCACTCCCTTTTCATTGTGTTCCATCATGTTCAAGTGTTTTGAGCCTCAAAGCTACCATACACAGATAGGGTCTGAACACCATCGGATCGGCAAATGGTCCAGTACAAAGATCCACACCATGTGTCCAATCATGGCAACCATTACCCACTTTTGTCAACTTGCAAGGCACTGAGCACGAACAACGGTTGGCATTTACATGTTATTGAACAGTCCATAGCTCTTGACTTGCAGTGGTGGCCTCATCAGATACAGCAGTGCACTGCCGATGGCCAGGTTTTAGAGTTATGAGAGTGTTTTGAAATTCGAATTCCGGACTGGCAGGAGCACTGGCCAGCCAGCACCCTTGCATGCCAATACCAGGGCTTCTGATGATTAAGGAAAGGAAGATAATTGTCCCAACAACTGTCAAACACAGCATTCCCTAACAAATTCAGAAGCGACACTGACAGTCACTGTTGTTGTGGCAACTCCTTAGCTCGCTACTCTGTGGCAAGAACCATCCCTGTTGCACACAGGGACTACAGCAACATTTCCTTTTATCTTCGCATAGATCTTCATAGATTGTCTTTTGTATTGGGATGGTTTCCCACACAGCACACTGTATGGCATGCTCTCCATTCTGCCCAACAGACACACGTTGCAGTTCCTGATGCTGTGGCATTTGCCGTATGCACATTGTTGCTTCGCTGGCACCAACTCTTTGCAGAATTTGCAGACAACCTCGCAGCTTCTGATTCAGAAAGCTCTTGTAACACACCTCATCATCCTCGTCGTTCGTTGCAGTCGCCGGTGGAGGTCGCAGCTGCAGCCGAAATTCTATAATGTCCAGTCCCCCGCTCTCTGGCACGTTCCATTTGAACTGCGGCACCAACGTCCAGGCCGTCAGCCCAAACACCGACACCCGTTTCAGGCCCAACCCAAACGAACGCCGCTCGCTCCAACCCCTCCAAGTCCCCAAGCCCCCACGCTTGATCCACACCCTCCCCGCCACGCAAGCAATTTTCCGCGGCACGATCAATCTCACGCCACGGCCCACTCCCGTACGGCGATCCGCCCGGCCAGATCTCCGCATCCCCGCACCTTCAGCGACGTCCTCTCGCGGCTTGTGAGCTGGGGGGGCTGCGGCGCGCCGGGCACGGTGGGCGTGGTGTGGAACACGGCAACCGCGGAGCACTCCGGGGCCTCCAGCCGCACGGTGGGGTCATCGCAGGTCGGCTTGGCCACCACTCGGATTGCGTAGTACCGGCCGGGCCGCAGGCCGCGAAGCTGAAAGGCAAAGCCAATCTGTCAGCGCTGACGCCTCGTCCCCGCCCTTCGGAACGTTCTCGAACTGCCCCCGCTACGCGTCGATCCGACCGCGCGGGCCCAGCGGGCGCAGCCGGCATGCGCCCAGTGATCCGCGCAACCCGGGACACGGGATCTGGCCAAAGCCGCGCCAGGGGCGCGAGCCGGGCGCGCGCGCTCCCACCTGAGCCCAAGAGTCCCCTGTTTCCTCGGCGGGCCTCCATAGGTCGGCCTTCACCAGCGCCGCGGCGGCGTCGCCGTTGGGCGTCGCTCGCCCGGATGGCACCTCCACCTTTACAGCACACCAGGCAGCAGCACGACGCGAGTCAGGCCCGCATTAAACCCAAGGCCCCGCCCGAAGGCGCCAACCGGCGCCCCACCCGCCCGCCGGCTAGCAACGCCACGGCCCCCGCCCGCCCTTCATCACCTGCTGCGCCTCCACGGCGTAGCGCACGGTCAGCCCCGGCACCGGCCCCTCCTCCAGGCACCGCGTCTCCCCCCATTGAATCGTCAGCTTGTTGGAGTCCTTGGCGATAAGGGACGGCTCACCCGGCGCACCGAAAGCCAGGCATGGCCCCTCGGCCTCGCCATCCTCCTCCTCGACGCCCTCCACCCCTTTATTCCTTGCCTCGCATTCCCCCTCCCCGCCTGCGCCCTCATCTTCGACCGGGTGTCCCCCCGCGCGGGGCCCCGCAATGCAATCGCCGGCCATGGCGCCGACCGCCGCGCCATGCCGGCCGTCGTCGTCCCGCCGCCGTAGGCACTGCCCCACGGTGCCGTCGAAGATCGGTTTCTCCAGCTGCATCAGGACGCCCACGGGGTCCTTGCCGGCCCCCATGTCGATGTGCATCCAGGCGGCGGTCGCGCGCCCCCGCCCTGGCGCCTAGCTACCGGCCACCGGGGGCGTCGCACCCAGCCCGAGGAAGAGATCCCCGTGGCGGTCGCGGCCAGCCAGGCCCTCGGCCAAATTCTCCGCAGCCGGGCGGCGCCCCGCCTTGGGGAAATCTTCAAAGGGCGTCCGGCGGGCTGCCTGTTGGTGCCCCGGGCGCCCCGCTTAGCTACGAGCACTCGCGATGCGCTCCGTGCTAACGGCGTCGCGGGAGCCGTTCCGGGCCTCCTTCCCCGACAGCCCGCGGCCAGCGGGGGGCTGACTGAGCCGGCTCCGCTGCCCTCCCAAGCGCGCTGGAGTAGAGGGCCGCCTGCTGGTGATGATCCGGAACTGGGGGGGTTAAGTGTGGGGGGGGTCAGGAAGAAAATCCGGCTGAAATTCTGCAGCCCGCCGTGGGGTGCCTGCACGCCGCCGCGCACGTGCCTGAGGGGCCCCACCCGGTACATAAGGGCAGTACTCCGGAAGGGCGTGAGTCACACACGGGTGGCCTTGGGGCCGCAGGTGGGGAGAGGTAGGCGTCAGCGCGGCGCCGCTCGGAAGCCGCGTGTTGGAGTGTTGGCGCGGCAAAACAGTGAGGGGCCTTGGCACGGGCCCCGTTGGAGGTGAAGAGGGGGGTTTTGACAGCCTCCGGGGCCACTCGGTGCGTACGACATTGCCCAGCTGCCGTGAAGTACTGAAAGGTTGACATAAACTGTAAAGTATTGGAACGTTGACGTAAAGTACAACGGCGCTGGCCTTACCGCGTTCCCTGGAGCGACCTGACCCCAGCGGCAGGGGCAAGAGTGGTCAGCGACGTTTCGACGAATGCGATCAAGCGAGGGTGGATGCCGATCAAGGCGGTGCACATTTTGGAATAATGGGGCGCGCTCGCCTGGAATCTTTTCTCCAGGGGCCCGCCAAGCGCTACAGAGGTGGCCGGGCATTTCGTGAAGCTGCAGGGCTCTGCGGAAGCCACTGGACAATCGATGATCGGATCAGTTGGCCCAGACCTGCCGGACTTGGGCGGTCACGGGCGCCGTGTGGAATCCTTGGCGTGCGGGCTTGCCCCGGAACCGCGATACCACTGCTCGGAGAACGACTTTGATGGGCAGCTCACACGGCTACCTGGCGCCCGGTTTTTGAGATGGGGGCTGTTCCAGTGCCCTTGTTGCGAGCTGCTCGAGCTGCCACGAGTCTGGGGCTCGAGCAGGCCGGCGTGCATGCTTGGCACCCAGCTGCGCGTTTGTGCGCCATGGCGGACGGTCTCGCTGGCAGCGACACTTGCTGTCCTTGTGGGAGACTTGGTGTCCTGCTTGTTGCGCCACTCGTTGGCAAGCGAGAATGGGATGGAAGTCGCACAAAGCACATCGCCAATAGATTTAGGGGCAGTGGATCGATGTCGAAGGAGTCCAGAGCGCTGCGTGTGCTGCGAAGGAGAGCGCACACCAGCGTCCCAGCAGCAACGCCTGCTAACGTGGCAACGGGAGAAGCTTCTCAGGAGAAGAAACTGGCAAAGGTGCACTGCGTTCCTCACCTTGACTGAGGCGCGCTCCAAATCCCAACATCTACAAAACGAGAGAATCGGAAATCGAGGATATTTCGCACGTGCTGATACCCCGCCTGAGTGTTGTTGACCTGGTTCACCAGTCATGTCGCTGTATGTAGTGGCATCAAAACTTGAGTCATCCTTACGGTTTGCTGGCTACCAGTAGTGGTACTGGGCAAATACCATATTTCATAATAAACCGACTCCGCCAGCACCAATGTTGTCTTATAAGAAAGGGCCCAAACAGCACTGAATGAGACGCGATCTGCCATCAACTGTAAGTAAACGACTATGAAGGTGCTACCGGCCATCAAAAGTATGCAAGAATGACAAAAGAAAGAAAGACGACTCAGAGCAAGAGAGAAAACATGAAGAAAAAAGCAATTGGTGTTGTAGTCTTAATGAACTAATGAGTCTGGTATGGTTTCACGCCAGTTTGTCACGCCCACATGTTTGTCTGAGCTTTCCACATTACGTTTTTTCCTTGGAATGCCAGACCGACGACTGGAGCTCTAACTGCGAACATGGAACATCGGATTGGTGCAGTGTGCATCTGCCTGCTTTCTCAATGTTCTCTCTGAAACATGTCTCACATTGGCTGTTCCTTAGCCGGGTGCACCACTAATTGGACAATTAAATCTGGTGATCGAGCTGGTTGCAGGTTTTGGTAATGACAAAGGCAGGCAGGGTCGAGGGGTGGCGATCCCTGAACGGGGACCATAGTCTCGAGTCCACGGCAACGGTTTACAGACGAGCAAAGGGAAAACAGGAGTTCTGTCCCTCATATCCAGTCCGTTCATCAATATCCTTAATGCATGCCTCATCACTTCTTTATGCATCCAGCTGCTAATAATACTCAATCAGTTATAGTTACAGCAGGTACAGTAGCAGCTGGTCACTATTTTTTTCTGCGACCATGATTTTTTTTATTTTTACTTATTTTTTTGGCAACATGTTCTTTTTTGCGACAGTGGCGATAATTGATGCGCGAGATGTTGGCATCAGATTTGCCGCACCAACCCAGCGCGATCCACGGGACCTTCTCTCACAACGGCGCTGACGACGCGTCTGTTCAAAGAAGGAACCGAAAGGCGAAACGGGAGCAACTGGGGCCCCCCAGGATCCCCACCTTGTGGAAGGGGGGCTGCCGCTGCCATTCGGCGCCCACTTTGGCGTTGAGATTCAGCCGAACAGGCTGAGGTTGGACCCCATCCGGTTCCTCCCAAACTCTGTTTTTGCAGTGCTAGACGGCTGAAATGCGCGCAAGTGGCCAGGTGGGGAGACGTCGCCGCCAACTGGGACCGGGGGTTGTTGCTCGTGACGCCGGCCGGGGAGGCCAGACGCTGGTTGACGGCGCCACTGCCGTCCAAGCATCGACCATCAATGCGCCCACGCCTAGCGCCGTTGATTGGTCACACGACCAGTTTTTGCTATCGAGTGCGGGCACGTCCTGTGAGCCACGGACTGTGGCGGGCTGCCACTGACGGCATTTTCAGCACTTCGCGCAACTTGGTGGCCAATTGGCGCCGTCCGGCCTTGTGCGTCACCCGGGCCCGACAAGCGGAGCGTTGACCCGTGAAGCTCGAGGAAGCGAAACAGTAATCCCTCGGGCTGCGAACCACGGCGCCGGTGGCAGAGGCCGGTGGCAGGGTGGCGGGCAGGAGGGTCGGTTCAAAGTCCCTGCCGCCTTCCGAGTTGTGCATTAGTCATATTCACTGTCGCAAAAAGAACAATCCACTGTCGCCAGAAGAGTAGTTTGGCACTGTTGCCAAAAAGAACAGTCCATTGTCGCAAAAAGAAGTATTCAGCGCAGCTGCTGCGGTGCAAGGATTTCCTCAAGGGCATCCGAAGCGCAAGGAGGCGCACGTGTGAGGACGCCGTTCCGCGAAGCGACACATCGCAACGGACAAAAAAGAGCGCAGACCGTCGAAAGCAAGCCGAGCCATCAGCAACCGGCACGTCCACCGCTGCCACGCACCCCGTTCCGCCCCTCCCCCACCCCGTCTCAGCCGGACGTCCCGGCGGGGCAGCGACGCCCCGCCGCAATGCTCCGGTGGGCCGTGGACATCACCTCCTGGGACGCCCACCCTCTGGAGCTGCAGTTCCTCCTCGACCTCCTCCCCCCCGCCGAGCGCGCCGACTGCACATCCTTCCGCTTCGAGGCCGACCGGAAGCGCGCGGTCGTGAGCCGGCTGCTGCAGCGGGCCGCCGCCGCCACCGCCCTGGGCCTGCTGTTCAGCGAGGTCGAGATCCGACGCACCAAGGGCCGGAAGCCGTTCGTGGCCAACCCGCCCCCCCGCAGGCCCCACGCGCCCAACTTCAACTTCAACGTGTCGCACGAGGTGGGATGCGACGATTGGGGGCCGACGGTCGGCCTCGAGCCGTCGGCCGCCTCTTGCCCGTCCCGATTGCGCGTGGATGGGAGCCCTTGCGGGTTGGGCATGCCTCATCGCGTCCTGTCCTCGTCTGGGGAATATTGTGCCGTCGGCAGAGGGTAATGGTTGAGGTTTGCCCGCGCTGACCCACTGGGCGTCTCGGCAGCATTGGTGCGCGGCTAAGCGAAGGAGTTCGAGGACATGTCTGCCTGCCCGTTTTCCAGAGAGGGGTATAATGGCCGTTGTTGGCTGCCCCATTGGCACTCGCACGGCTCGTGGCTGCCAGTTCCATCTTCCTGTGTGGCTCATTACCACCAAAAGTGCAGGGGATGGGTTTGCCCAAAGCAGGCAAAAGAAATGAAATAAATTGGGAGGCAGATTCAGGGGAATCCTGTCAACGCACAATCTGGAGAGCAGCAAATCTGGTTCCCAGACTGTGGCTGAAATTTGTTTAGAATTGCCTTCGAAAGACAAAGCACTACACCTGTAGGCGATGGTGGGGTTGGATACATCCAAGAATGCTGTGTTGTCCCACATCATTTTATCCGCCCACCGCCCATGTTATCAGCCATTGCGTCGGAATTGACGTCTCAAGCCTGGTGCACAGCTAGATTGTGGCAGATGACTAGATACATGTTGACCTTTTTCTTGCGGGAGCGTGGTTGGCCAACTTCCGCTGCTTTGGGGCTGTAGCTGGCACTGTTCACTCACTGGGACAGAGTGAGGGTAGCTTATAATCGACTATATTTGTTAAGAATGACAAAAAATCAACCTGCACACTTGTCAGGCGATTGGTCCCTGGTGGGTGTGTTGCTACCATTCCCTATTGACACTTTAAGGGGGCACTCGCGGGAAGCGTAGCACCCATGGGGTGTTCCCTGAACGGCTGCATGCCTGCCAAAATCCTGCCCAGGATGGGGATGCCCATGTGTGCTGTTTTTCGGCGTTTGTGACCAACGATCGGTGGTTGGGGGCGTCCAGCAACTGAATTGATGCGATCAATCTTTTGTGCTTGGCATTGCCCTGTACTATCTTATGAGGTGGCAAAATGCTGACGTCTCTTGTGTTGATATGGGATGGCATCTGGACAGTCGAATGTGATTTTATGCTCTGAAATCAAGAATGAAAGAAACTGGACTGATGCAAACTATTGGATGGCCTGCAGGGGAACTTTGTGGTGCTGGCATCTGAGCCGGTCTGCCTGTGTGGTGTGGACGTGGCTGCGCCACGGCAATTGCAAACGTCATGCGCAACCCCAATAAAGGAGCACCTGAATTCCTTCAGGAACCAACTGACTTCCTTTGAGGTACAGAAGGCTTGTTGTTGCTATGCCTGTGACTATTGTACCTGTGCTTCTGTGATTGCTGTTGGACATCATTGTTATGAATCTTACTCCAGAGCATGGCATGCACCAAGCACCCCTCTCTTGAGGCAAGATGTTGCAAGAGATTTGAGGACTGCATGAAAGAGCACGTGGCAGTGAGCTGCACAAACAGCAAGATAAAGTGTGCAGGACGACTTTTTTATTTGTGGGGGAATAACAAACACAACACATATGGTTTGGGATGCTGTGGTGGCCTTATAAATGGCTATGGATCGATTATGTGCAGCTACCTGGATGGGCCACCAGGGCTGTTGGCAAGTCTATCAAGATGGACTGTGATGTAGATATTGCTGTGACAACAGTGGGATGCAGTGAACAGCGCTGGTGATGAGAGACAAGTTTATGAGGCCTTCCAACGTCATTGGAGCCTGAAAGAGGTCAGAGGAGGTTGCATAGAATCTCATTGACTACGGTTGTCAAACGCATGCCGTGGCAGTGCTCTTCACTTTGTAGGTGATGTCAGGCAAGTGGGCATGGCCTAGTCAAAACTGTGTGAAGAACGTGGTGGCGTTGAATTCAACACATTTCATGCATTCGTCTTTGTTTGTGTCCTCCAGCAAAACGCAAAAAATGGCACAGCACTGCAGCAGCCAAACTTTTTTTGTGGCCATCCTGCAACGTCTTGGCCAGTTTCAAGCCCAAGGGGCACAGGCTAGCACTGCTTGCACATCCTATGCTGGACAGTGCTGATTTGGGTCTGTGGGGCAAGGCATCCAGGCAGGCTTTGGTATCAGGGAAAAGCACACTGATTCTGGCGAATGGTCCAGGCAGTGCCCCGCACTGATTGGTCTTGGCAAACAGCATGCTGGTGAACACTGTGGACAGTCTGGCAAGGGACCAGAAGATGTGGATGTTTTTCGCAGACAGATGTTCGGGACCAGGTGGCCAGGAAATTGTGCTATCATGGTGACTGACAGCGCACCATGATCAAAGCAGTTTACAAAGGATATTCAGATTTACGTGTTCATGTCTGAGGCATCAGTGGCTGAGTGGGTGTTGAAATCGTTGAAGATAATCAGGAAAGGGTTTAGTGTGTCCTTGTCAAGCAATGGGCACCAGTGCAACAAGGGCTTAATGATGGAGACAAGCATGAATGGAACTCGTTCACGAGGTTATAGTTGTTTGTCGATGGCAGCGCTCCATAATGCGCAGCATTCTTTGCGCCCGTCACAAAATTTCTTGAGCACACCTCAAAGACACAACACACAGCCCTTGTGCAATCGTTGCATACTACCCCAGCATGGGAGGTGCAAATGCAGCACACAGCCCAGTGCCATGGAGCTGAAATTGTGCCATGCCTGCTCTGCGTGCACACGACTACCAGCTGCACCTTTCTATGTCGAATGCCACAATTTGTGCTGCATGTATGTACGAGGTTGTCCAAAGCAAGCTGGTGAGACGCGAGTTGTTCGTGGTGGAATGGAATGCTTTGGCTGTTGGATGTAAGAACCTTGCACACATGTTTCACTGTACAAGCTACTCTGACTTGCCCTGTGTCCTCTGGTTTGTGTTCCATTCTCGGTTTCTGTTGTCTATGAGGTCCCACTATCCTGTAGTATTGACATAGGAATAGCACAGACCAACTTAACCCAATCACAAAATCATCTTACAGATCGTGCCTGTTGCTGTATGCGCGAGTGGTGGGGAAAGGTTGACATTATCGCAAATAGGGAACTGTGCTGTGATTGCATTGCAGGACCCAATCTTGTTTGATACGCACGTCAGAACACACAGTAAAGCACACACACTGCACCTATCATGCAAGCCTGGCATTGTCCACAGCAACATAAAGTATTACTTCAGGATTTTTGAGTGTGGTAGCTTTTGGGTGCTTTGGTGGTGTTTGAAAAAGATGGTCTGTTCAGGCTCTTTCAAAGGCCCGTGGCGATGGACTTGAATTCCAGTTCGACAAGGCTGAGTTCCATTTTCCAGCTCAAAATGAAGCCACTGTGATTCTTCATGGAAAACCTCAGCCAAGGTATGCTCAATGCGGACTGGTTGCACTCTTGAACGAAGTCGCAGGTGGTTGGGTTCCTAATTGTTGGGCTATTCGACGGATTGTGATTGTGCTGGTGCACACCGCAAATACACACTCTGATGTGCAAGTTCCATGGGAATACAAATCAGCAGATGATGGATCATGTTGTGATGTTGATTGTCCATGAACGGGGAATCTCTGCAAGCAAGAGTTCTAGGGCAGATCCATTTTGACAGCATTGGTCAAATCCTGACGAATTGCTTGCCCCATCTGTATTTGAGCATGTGCCTAAGGAAACGTTTGCCTTACCAAAGGATTTTGGGTGATTGCTACCCGTAGTATCACAGCATTGCAGCACAGCTGTTGTGCATGCTGCAGCAACAACTCAAGGAGGGGTGGGGTGGGGGGGCTCTCAAAGAACAGTGGCGAGTGTTTGAAACTTCGTGTGCTGCCCAAGGTGGCGCTTCTTCCTGCAGAGCTTGGCTGGAGGGCATTGGGTGTCTGTTGCAAGGGCACCACCCGAAGCCATCATCGACGCCTTTGGGGTGAGTGTCCAGGATCTTGCAAGTTTCTGGGTCATGAGCATGGCATACAGGATTGTGATAGGACGGTATGGCTAGGACTGTGCAAACTTGCTGGATTGTGTTCCTTGGCTTGCATCATTTTTGCATCTGACATACTGCACGCATGCTCCCCACACATCTGATTCACCCTCCAAAGGGGCTGTACCAACAATAGTCCACCGGTCGCATTGCGAAGCCAATGATATAGCATACTCCTGTTCAAGGCTGCGGACTGCAAGGGAGGTTCTCAGCAACACAGGCTTGCAGAAATAGGCTCAGTGTCCGAGCTGTCGTTGTGCCTGCTCCGAAGCACTGTGACACTCGACAGTCGGCGGGCATTCACTGGGAAGTTTTGGTAGTACCTTCGGATGTTGGGATAGATTTTGTACCTTGCGTGTGGTTTCGAGATGTCACCCTGCGCCAATACTGAACCGATTGATCGCGAAATTTGACGACTCAAATGCCATACAAAATGCATCCCTGCAGCGGAATTGGGCAGTTGTCCAAGAGGTGATGGACTACATGACGGTGCTTGTTGCCGAGCTGAAGTGCTGCCCCAGGGGCACATTTCAAACCGAGCTTGCGCACGGCCAAAAAGCCGTCCAAGAGCACCTGTCAAAATGTTGCTGTCGATTATACTATCGATTATGTAGTGTATGTGATGCTTTCTCCGTCTCAAAATAAATGGTGACGAAAATATCATGGAAAGTTTGTATGAATAGCATCTCCACATTTTCGTTTACATGCTATTTTCTTCCAAAGACCATTGTGGAGAGACAGCCATGATCCCAGTCGGCTCTCCACGATCACTTTGCACCAGGAGCGAATCAGCTGTTCATGGAATTTGCATACACTTACGATGCGACTGTGTGGACAAATGACGCTTTACAAGAATGACATCAAATTTCATGATCTGTGCGTTTGGCAACAGTCACATATTTCAAGGTACAGGACGAAACGTTGCTTCTTCCCGTTGTTCAGTACAGTTTTCCAGATGTGGAAAGGGACTATGGGCCGCTGTCTTTATCGGTCTCAAAAACTCCCCCTCGGAGCCTCTTTGGCACCCAGTGTTTCCTAATCTAGTTGCGGTCTGCACATTCGGCCAGGGAAATACTACACTTATATTGGGCAAAGAGAATACATAGCATATTCACAAGGCGATGTCTGTGACATGGGGCTGCTCTCAGGATTGTTGATGCGCTGCCCAAACTTGCTGGGGAGACCAATGGACTGCCTTCAAAGGGGCGTAAACGTGACAAGACCAACATACTGGTGCCACCTGGTAGTACATGCAGCTAATGGTCAATAGCACAGTACACACGCGGGTTGATGTCGAAATTTGGAAACCGGCTGGCTTGACCCAATTGGCACACAGGGTCTGAAGTATCGTTGTGGCGTAGTTTTGAACTGGTTCCTGGTATGGCGAGGTAAAAGCGATTTTGCCAACGTATTACGTTGACAATTGGTTTTTGAAATACCTCATCATCGCGAGTTGGGGTGTAGTTTTGAACTGGGTTCCTGGTACGGCGAGGTAAAAGCGATTTTGCCAACGTATCGCGTTGACAATTGGTTTTGAAATACCTCACCATCGCGAGTTTTCGTTACTAGCGTACGCATCTGGCTTGACATAGGGGTTCCAGCAATTTGATATGTCGAAGGCGCTGATTTATCGTGTGGAAGTTAAGTGTTTGACACATTGGAATAAAATACAGTTAAACATATGGTGGACACTGATGTAGGTCATGGTAGAACCACGCTGTTATGCTGGCGGCGGCTTGAAAAGATGTGGGCACAATTGCCGACAATGAATTCTTCATTGGCTGCAATTTTCCTGTGGACAACACCAGACCCTTGGAAATGCTCTGCAATCGCGGGCTATTGTTGAACTTTGATAACGGTCTGATGACGCTGCTTTCACTTCTCCTCCGCTTTGCACTTCCTACGCCGTTCATGAATGTCGCAAGCGGTCCGCCCTCCCACCACGCCGGCAGCTGGCCAAAGGAGGAGTGCGCCCGAAGCCATTGACTTTGGCATCCACCCATTGCACAGCCCTGGCCAAGTCTTCGTTGGTGGCATTTTTGACGTGGCGTGGCAAACACGACGTGACTTGAAACACCCAGCCGGACGAGGCGTGACAAACTTTTCCATTTTGTTTTCATTCGACGGCCTCAGGCGAAGTTCCAAAAGGCACTGGCGTTGATCCCCGCTGATTGTTCTGTCCCGTTCCACTTTGGCAGCTGGCTTGTGGTGAAATGCCGGGCATGACATGTATGTGCCATATCAGGAATTCAGGGCGACATTTCAGCAGCCCGTCTTGAGCGATGAAGAAATGGAGGTGAGACAATGCGCAGGAGGTGGCACGTGCCTGCGATGTCATGCTGAATGGGTGTATTACAATTGTGGAAAAGCGCTTTCGCCAATCTGGCGACAAACATAGTGCAAGGTTGTAGCACCGAATCCATGTTTGCGCCTGTCCGCCCAAAGCAAAGTGTTCAACTGAACCGCAAACGTCCTTTCAATCAATGGACTGCCCCTTCCGAAATTTGGCGATGTTGGAATGGCCACGCAAATGTCAAGCACGACACATTCCGATGCGGCGATTGATTGGTGCCCTGGACCTGTGCCACGAATCCACAGGGTTGTGCAAAAATGTTACACAATGACTGCAGTGTTCGCCCACCCAATTTGATTATGACGCTGGATGTGCGCCACAGACAGGACTATGTTGTGGCCGCTGCTGCGGTTGATTACCGCCCAACCTATGGGTCCATCAGAGACTCATTTAACCAATGCGCCAAGGACCAGCCTCTGTCCTGGACCATCAAGTCCTTTGACTAATCGCCTAGATTCATCGACTTTGCTTGTATTAAACATTAGATTTCAAGGAACTGATCATAGACACTGCTTTGCTCGGGCAAAATAGGAAGCTGATGGCTACCTTATTGCCTTGTTCTGTAAAAACGAATGGTGACAATGATGACTAATCGCCTTGTTGCTTGCTACCACGCAGAGACACTTGAACATTCCGAATCCCCCGTTCGTGATGAAGCAAGTGCAGGACCTCTTGCCAGAGGATGTGCGATTCGACTATGAAGCGACCTGGGCGTAGTGATGGGTGAAGCCAACCCAGGCTGGTGGGGGTTGTCTTCCTGGGCTGCAGGTGATGGACACGACCGAGAGTGAGACAAAACCCACGGTGCAGTATGCTGCGGCAGGACGGCCTTTGGACACGATCATGATGTCTTCGCAATTTTTGCTTTCTTCGATTCCTATTTGCACTGCGGAAGCGCTGTGGCTGTGGTGCATTGTGTGGCGCTTGTGGACGGCAAGGAACGGCGCTGCTAACTGAATCTGGGGCTGGCCGCCTTCTTAGGTCATGGGATCGGACCACTAGATGGTTGCTGTGCTGGGCCCGGGGCACCATCCCTTTGTTTTGGATATCATGGTTTGCTGTGGCCTTGGAAGAGAGCATGCCGCGAATAGAGTGTGTGGTGATTGTGATGCCGTGGAGGCGGCCTGGTGATGTCTTCTTGTGTGGACAATGAATCGATTGTGCTCCTTTTACAAAAGCAATGTGCACTGTACCGTACGTGTAACGATCGACCTGTCGCAGGCCATGGCCATGGATGCATTCATACACAGTTGGAAAGTGAGGTGGCGTGGAAGCAACGGTACGGGCTTGCATTCGGATGAAGGTTGACCAATGGGGTAGAGAAACACGCACACAGTGCCTGGGACCGTGGTCTGGGACCATCTGCCCCTGGACAATGTGATAAAAGGGCACATCCTAAGCGGACTATTGCTCAGATCGCACTGTAGGCCCCTTAGCGCACAAGGCAGAGAAGTAGAGCAACGGGGGAGGGTGGGAGCGCAGGTATGCCAAAACCAAGCATGAAGGCTGGTGGGTGTTTGGAAGGCCATGGAGTCTGAACATGATTCACAGAGGGATTGGGATGGCAAAGGCCTCTTCTCCCTCATCTCTGTTGACGGGCACGAGGAACAGATGACTGTGGGAAGGCTCGGGACTGCACACATAGGGCCTGGGAAGATACATGCAGCCACTGGGGCTGAACGCGAAGCACGAAGTACCCGGGGCCGATCGTGCGGCCACACCGGTGGACAGGAGCTATGTGTGGTCAGGTGGTCGCCATTGTGGCTGCTATGCAGTTTAGGATGCGTTCCCAAGTCAGTGTTTCTGTGCAGTGTGGCTTATGGCTGGCCGCAAGTTGTGCGTTGTTGCCTTTGAGTGTCAGGCCACTGAGCGGTGTTCGGAAGTTTCATCAACTTCGATGTGTTTGCTGGCGCCGCGCTCTGGACATTGCACACAGAGAGAGCTCGTGCCTACCTCAGATATGGAGCAGGCGTGGGGTGTAAGACTGAGGGGGCGAGCTGGGCCTTGATGTCGCCACCAAAGTCGAGCAGGAAGAAATGCATATGTGGCCAATACTAGTGCATTGTTTCCCTGTTCTGCTGATGGCAGTTTGGGCGCACAGATTGGCTGGAACAGGAGGCCCAGATCAGGAGGACCACAGAGCGATGCTTACCAGTCAGCCGGAATGGTTCGTCGGTAGGCATTGGCAGAGCGCAGAGGCCCCTATTTGCACCGCTGCTGCGTGCTGCGGGTTGTGCAGGTGCGCTTCAGGTGGATGGCTCTACATGCTTCGCAGTGCCCGACGTCGCGGTGGCAAAGGTGTGTGGTGTCCTTTGCTCGCTGAATCTACTCGACTGCTTTTGCCATAACGACGGGACCCTCCTTTGGCGCCTACGAGGTGATGGCGGGAAATCATTCTGCTCTCAGGGGTTGAGAATGTACCTTCAATTCACCTCAGCCGATTTGCTGCAATTTTTCGACTGGAACTGTCAGCCCCGCTGCGCGTTCAACGCACCTGTAGAACGGGTGATGCGTCAGAACGCCATCGTGTTGCCATCCTGCAGATTTCTTCCCATATTCGGAGCGCAGTTCGGCATGTGGCAAACATGCCTTCAACAAACTTTGGAAATGGCGTGTATGAAATTCACCTCCGTGGCCAACATTTACAATTTCGAAGAGTCGCTTGCCGAATTTAACTGACAAGGTCAATCAATATGGGGCGCTCACTCCGTTCAAAATTGCCGCCGGGAGCGCAGTCTGCGACCTTGGCGCCGACAAACCGTCATGACGGCCCTCTCGTTGCGGCCGAGATCGCACCTACCACCTGCTCACGCTCTACCCAGCCGCCAGCTCCCTCCGCCCAGTCCTTCTGCTCCCGTGCGCCCTTAATCCCACGCCCATGGCACCCACTCCAGCCTACGCAAAGGAATTCCTGAAAGTATTCCACCAGTTGCTGACTTGGGCGCCCACAGCCGAGTAGCTGGTGGAGGGTTTTCCTTGCACAATGGCATCGCCCAGCCCTCCCATCCGCCCCGCTTGAAGCATCATCAGCTTCCAGCCGGCGACCAGGCTCGTCAGCCTCTTTATCCGCTCGCACTCCTCATTCACGGCGATGCAATAGAAGAATTGCCGCCGAATCAGCGGACCTGCAAGGCCGAGCAAAGGAGATGCCCGCTGTGAGGAGACCCGGGACATGGCGGCACAGTGTCTGCGCCATGGCGAAACATGGCGGCCAGCGATGTGCGGTGTCAAGCGGCGGCATGCTTTTGCCAACAAATGCAATGGAGTTGAAGTGCGCAGCGCTGTGTGCTCACCGTCGTCTACAATCCGCACGTGCGATGTCGCTCGGTAGTCATTGTCAGCAGCTTGTTCAGCAACCTATAAAACAGGCTTCAATCAAACTTCTACACTTGGCGATGGTCGGCCATGCAGCCATAACTTGGCGGGCAGTTCAGACCGTTTGCAGCATGCAGCTCGGCACAATCGACACCAAGACGCCAGAGACCAGCGCCAGGGCATCAGAACTGCAACCTGAAACGGTGAGCTGTGGATGCGTGCCCAACATGCACAAAAGCTGCACATGATCGGCAATCTCAAAGATGTGGCAAGGTTTGCCAGTCGCGCAGATAGGCGCGCTTCGGTCATGGCGAACGTCAATGTGACGTACCTCTCGAAAACCAGGGAACTGCGCTAGTGGAAAAGAAAGTCGCTCGACGGCACCCGCCAGACGCGATTGCAGGCCTTCCAGATATCTGCAGAGAAAGACGAGCGACCGGATTTGAGCAGCGAATCGCGAGTCAGTCTGGCTGAACCAGCCCGCGGGCGTATTTCCCTTCCGCGACGTCATTCCGCCCTCAAAATACTTCCGTTTCAGCAGATAATTGTGCGCCCTAGCCTGCCGTATGTAAGCAGCGCGCCCATTTCGTGCCTGCTGCTGCAGTTGCCTCGGCACGTTTGGCCTCCAATCAGCAGATCATCACCTCCATTCGCTTCCACTCTCCTTCCCAACGCTAAACACGCTTCGGTACAATTTGTAACCACTATGGCACTGCAATTGTCGCTTCTTTCACTTCACGTCGCTTCGTTTTCGCTGCGCCACCGACTTTTCTTTCCAACGTAAGAGCAGCGTTTATTCTTGGTTCATCCCTCCATCATACAAACAGCAGCACTAGACTCTTTCACACCGCATATGAGCTCAATCGATGTGACGTTCCTTAAAAAATTCAACAAGGGATAAAGGAGGGTCCTGTTCCACGTCGCATATAGACTAGCAGCGCATGAAACAGGACAACACCGTGAAGGTCACGTCTGCCGCTCCATTTTGAATGGGCCACAGAACCCCACGGTCCGCAGTTGCGATGACACGTGCCAAACGAACACAATGCCGATTGCACAACTACCCTAGTTCGACGCAGGTTACGCTACAGCTGCCGCCAGCGAGCAAGGCATCGATGGCGACACAAATTGCGTGAAATGGGCCGCTCGCAGCATGGAGTGCGCCCCTTGACAATTTTTGTTCCACTCATCTAAAAGCCAGTGGGTCACCTGCGCTGCGGCGAGCGGTTCATGTTGAATGCCAGCACATAGGAGTTTCTGAGAACCTCCCTGGCGCTGCAAACGGCCTCTGACGCTTGCGACAGGTAGTCGAACAAGCCGGACGCCATCATGCCACTGCTGTCGCCTGAAGTGCAGCAAATCGACACATTCTCTAGTGACAAATGATCTCGACAGCACAGCAGCAAATGCGCGATTTGGTCCTGCTTTCACAGCTTACGCTCCCAGTGCACGATTCTCGACAGTTCGACACTGCCCTGCACGGACACAACATCGTAAAATGACTTCCAATGGGGCTTCATCGTTGTTGTGGTTTAGAATGCTTCTGGTTTGCGACTGCACAACGTAAAGTTGTATAAGCCTGCCTCAAGTGACAGCCAAAAATGAAGCGCCCAGAGCAACCACTGCTCAAACATGGCTTAACGGTCTCTACAATTGGGCCATGTCTTCGCATTTGCATCAATGCGCAGTTTTCAACAACCAAAGACTGCCTAAGTACAGTCCAAAAGTGGCGGAACGGGCAATTTCTTGCCAAAGCACTGCCTTGCACTAATCTGAACTGGAAAATGTAAAAAGACGCTGCAGGTATTGTCAAGATCAGGGGAGCGCGGACGCAGCTGATTCGTGTTGACGGCTCTTGGGTCAGTGTGAGCCATCCATGTAAGACAGTGTCTCGCTTGGTGACATCTGCGTCACCATGGTGACCTTGCATTGAACGGACGTTCACCTTATGTCAACTGCCAACCATCAGCATGCCAATTGCAGGCATCATCCCTCTCAGGGTGGCATCTGTGCTGGCAAACCTACCAGAGCCACCACTGAACACTGTACGCTGGTGGAACCTGAATAATCGAGGCCAAGGGCACTGCGCAATGAACGTTCCCGGCGAATGAAGGACCGCTGCAGAACTCGACAAGAGTGCCAAATGGTCCATCCAGTTCCCAGTACCATAATGATAGCCATCGGCTGAGCCAAGGCACTCACCAGGAGGGGGGACGCCCAGACACAGCAGGGCTCCCATGTATGCCCCAACTGCATTCAAGTGGCGATCATTGCAGTCATGCATGCTGTACTGCTGCACATGCCACTCCCACCAATAGCCACCCACCACAGAGTTGAACAGAGAACAAATGCTCGAAAACAGCCCCTTCCTCCCCCCAGCATCGGGAGGATCAACAGCAGCCTCCTGTCTGTCGTCGTCATCGTTGAGCGGACGGCCACGGGAGCAGTTGTAGAAATCGTCATGGCCCTTCCAGTCCATTCCGCACTTGTAGCAGAAGTGGTTGCCGCACATGGTGCAGACCATGTGGTTGCAGCCCCCATTCCGCTGGATGTTAGCACTGCAGCGGGGGCAGGCCATAGTATTGGTTGACACCCATGCCTTGCTCTGCAGCTCATGGTCCTTGTGAAGCTTGTCCAACGCATCAGCCCAGGCTCTGACCTACAATCAATCAATACTCTGGTTTTAGAACATTTCGGCACCAGCGTTCGCAGTACCTGTATTGCTGTGAAGCACAGGGCTCCTGCCCAACTCGGAACAGACTTGCATTCGGTAGCCCGTGACCTTCACTTCAAGGGCCCCAACTCTGCAGGAGGACGACTTCAGACATGTTATGCAGTCATCAAATGATGGCATGTTATGAGTCATCAAAAATACAGGCGCTGCTATGGTGAGAGGGGACGTTGCTTGGAATGTCTATGGATGAAAGTACTGGAATGTCTAAGAAACGGGTTTTGAAATGGAGGGCCAAAACTTGTGGATCGACAGAAACAAGGGCTCACAGAGGCCAACATGGCGCTTGTAAACGGTGCCCATCATCACCTAACAAGTGAAGTGCAGTAACTGGTAAAGCATTCATGAATGCAGTCAATAGGCACTGCAGCCCACTGATCATGTACACACTGACCATTTCATGCCCTGCATGGACTCCACATGGTGCTGCCCTGTAAAGTGATTGTGCACAAAATAGGCGCCATACAGGCAAAATGAGGCTCCATGCTGAAACTATGTTATTGGGGGAAGTTTTGAGTCTCTCTGTGCTGCACAGCAGAGCACATAAAGTTGTCACATGAAGTCCCTTCCAACAATAATGATGTTGATGGCAGTGAAGCCTGGCGATCCTGGACGTAGCTGAATGGTCCATTTTGGGCCGGCCAGGCAATTGAGAAAAGAGCAATGTACCTAGCCTGCTTTGTGAAAACCTATTCCATACCAATCAAGCCATGTTTTCAGCATGCACAGCGACCTGTATTATGATACTATGGACCACATTGTTCAAAAACATCACTGGCAGCAATACTACTGATGCGAGTAGCAACAT